CCTATTTACCTTGCTACTTACTTTCTTATAACGTCTCTCTTGAAGATATCGATGTGGTGGAAACACGGCAACTGGGAAGTCAATCATGCGTCTGAGTGTAAGTCTTCATCTTGATCATATTTATGTGGTCTTTATCGCTGATGTTGTTTCTCTATTAGTTATCGACCATCATCAACAGGAACCGGTTCAGCCAAACCCTGCCGCAATGGGACCTCCAAAGCGTCCTCCTTTCCATGAAGAAGGTATGTAACTTAACTTATTCTGTTTTTGTTGTCGCCGCCTTGACCAACTTTAATCAACACTTTCCTCGCTTTCCATGGCCTGTGATTGATAATAGGTCCTCACCCTTATTCGTACTCGCCACCACGCACTCCTCAGGCTCAATGTAATACCCCATCTCAATGGTATCCCTCTAACGCATCAACTCAACCTGCCCAACCACCTCCAGCCCAACCGCCTTTGTCTCTTGCGTCATCGACACATTCTGTTTCATCCACGACTCCTTCTTTAGCTTCTTCTCAATCTCAACGTTCTAGCACCAAGCGTAAAGCTCCTGCCCGAAAAACCAAAGCTCCTACCAATTCTCAATCTACAAACCAAATTGCTCTTACCCCAGGCCTTGATGACGATACCTCCGGTGGCCGCGGCAGTTCCTACCACCCAGACGAAGATCTCCAGCTTTGCCGCTCATGGTTGAATATTTCTCAAGATAGCTTGGTAGGCAATGGTCAAACTTACAGCTCATTGTGGAAGCGAATCGCTGCCGACTTCAAACACTGGCGGCTACTTGAACCCGCCATCATCAAGGATCCTACCCTTTTTGTTGAAAGATCTGAAGAGTCTCTAGGTGGTCGATGGCGTGCAATCAATAAAGCTGTCAACAAATTTGTTGGCTATCTCTCCAAGACGAGGAATTTTCACGGCAGTGGCAAATCAGCTGACGATATCAATGCCGATGCCCATCAGATGTACTTCGAACGTGAGCGTAGTGTATTCAAGCTGGTGCGATGTCATGGTATCTTATCAAGTGCCCCTAAGTGGACCGATTACAACGTTGACCTCGCCAGACGTAGTAATCCTAAACCTTCAGCTTCTTCATCTGCCATCTCCATCCGATCAACCCCTGCTCCAACCGACGACTCGGACATTGAGGTAATCTCATCTGAATTTCATGATCGTCCTATGGGAAATAAATTAGCAAAGAAATCAAGGACTCAAGATGTGATTTTGTCTCAGATGGCTGATAATGTCAAGGTTATGGCAGAGGCTACTACAGCTATTGCCTCGCACTCTAGAGTTCAGAGTGAGGCAGTAGACTTTCTTACCGATGATTTAGTGCTCAAAACCAATACTGACTGGATGCAAGGTGAAGTTAAGATGTTTTATGAATTGAGGAAGAAAGAAATTGTAAAGAAGCGTATGGCTTTGATGAAGACCACTGCAGCGATAGAATAGTGTTTTTTACATTTTTTCCTTTATACTTTTTCTTCCTGTTGTTTGTACCTCTTCTCGTCTTGTCTGATTGTTTTGAGTATTGAGACCGACTGTCTGTTTAACACCAAAAAAATTACATTTCTTTGTAACTAATGTACTATCTTTGCATGTGAATAATTGAACAAACTGTTTAACTTTAACCATCTGAGCCTCAAGTTAATTCTCTTTACAACCAAGAGCAAAGCAAGTAACACGAAAAAGAAAACAACTAATGAAAAGTTATGCCGGAGCTGCCCCACGTAAATTCCAGAGATGCTCGATCAGGTCATTCTGAAGTTGAAAGTGAGTTTGATGATTCTCCATTTGACATTGAACATTCAGATATCGCTGATAAGGTGTCATATCATTGTGTGGATGTAGAACTTCCGCGATCGGAACTAAAGGGATGACCTCGCGAAGGCCTCCATCTCTCTCGTCCTCTACTACCATGTTATTAAGTATTACACATGCTAGCATTATTGATTTCAATTTTTTTGCGCTCCACAAACGGGCGGGTCCAGCTACAATTGCAAACCGTCCTTGAAGAATTCCAAAAGAACATTCAACGTCCTTGCGAATCTCTTCTTGCTTTTGTGCAAAATACTTCAATCAATAAACAAATAATTAGTATCGTAACCAGAATTACTTTGTGAAGAAACCAAGTGAACATACAATTTTCTTCAGTTCTTGTGGCCTTGCAATCGATTGAACTATAGTTGCCCATTTAGGATAAATGCCGTCTGCAAGGTAGTATCCCTTGTCATATTGATGACCATTGATTTCAAAATTACACTCCGGCGCCTCACCTCGGCAAAGACGTTCGAATAATGGAGAATGATTGAGTACGTTCAGATCGTTGAGAGCTCCAGGAATTCCGAAAAAAGCATGCCAGATCCAACGGTCCTTAGAAGCCACTGCTTCCAAAACTATAGTGGGACCTTCTTCTTTGCCTTTGAATTGCCCACTATGCGCTTTTGGGCAATTTTTCCAACGCCAATGCATACAATCAAGTGATCCCAACATTCCAGGGAAACCACGCTCAGCGTTCTCCTGAAGAAGTCTTGCGGTGTCTTCCCGGTTTGGCTCTCGGAGATATTCTTTTCCAAAACGAGAGACAACCGCCTCACAAAATCGTAACATACTCTTGATAGAAGTTGACTCTGCCAGACGTAGATTTTCGTCGTTCATGTCGCCGGGGGTTCCGTAGGCAAGCATCCTTATTGCTGCCGTGCATTTTTGTAGAGGTGAGAGTCCGAGCCTATGACAGGCATCTTGTTTTTGCACAAAATACTGGTCCTCTTGAGTTACTCCTTCAACAACTCGCATAAATAAATTCCGACCCATGCGAAATCGACGACGAAACAGTTCCTCATGATAACGAGGGTTATCAGAGAAGTAATCATTGTAAAGTTCTATGTGAGCTTCCTCCCGATTTCTTAATATGTTCGGGCGTTTGCCCTTCTTGGAGCCACCGCCTCGGCGCTTTTGATTACCACCCGATGTGATGAGGTGACGAGCAACGTCCGTAGTAACTTGAGCTGCATTCATGATTACACGTAATCGATCGTTGGTTTGTCCACACATAGTCAAGAGGTTGTTCAACGATAAAGGGTGTTGATCAGGTGGCTCAGCCATCTTATGATGATAATGGACCAAAAATCTAATCAAAGCGGTTTTGATCAAATTGCATTTCTTCATCACAATCCGATCATATCACCCATCAGGGTGAAGATCACCTATCACCCTGATGTCATAGCCGGATGAATATGACACAGGAATATCTCTCGCGTGGCTCAATCGGTAATTGGTCGTTTTCACTTACACGGCCGCGGTTTTGTCAAACACCGCGTAAAATGTTTGTACAGGTCAAGACCTGTCGAACTGTCATTGTATAGACGGTGTTTATTCACGCCGTGGGTGGAGATGCTCTCATGTGCGCGGTGGAGGGAAATCATTTTAAAGAAAAAATACAGCTTACTGTATGTTTTCAGACGAGCCTGTACGCCTTTTGGCGATTCAGGACCGTTGGAGATGCTCTCAGCATCCACAAGTAACGATGCGGAGGAAGCCGGGCGCGAGTGCAAGTCTTCCTAATCTAGGGTAGCTGCGCACCGCAGTTATATTGATGTCGCACGTCCCAAACCGACACATGCAGGTCGAATCACGGCTGCCAAAGTCGCAGCATGCACACACTCGTCCTTCTCCATACCGCTCACATGGTGGGCGCGAAGCGGGAAGCTAGGGCGTGCTCAGTGCGCCTTTCTGGGTCATTAAGAGGCCCACCCATAGTGGGGGGTCAGGGCGCGCCTTTTGAGTATGCAAGATCAAAAAGAAAATAAAAAAAAACAGCG